TCCTTTACAAGGGGAACTGTCACCTTGCAACCAGGTGCGGGTAGCTAAGGGCTTACTGGGATCACGCAGGCATGAGTATGGACAGGTAGTTGCAGGGAGTTCTTTTTGGATGGCATTAGAACACAGCAGGGGCAAGTTGTTTCAGTCTTATTCCTTAGCTGAGGTGCAGCAGCTCCAGTATCTCACTTGGTAGCTCCCTGCTGTGTTGGCTCTCAAGGTGGCTGCCACACACTAGCCACAAACAGTTCCAGTAGTGGATTCGTTCCGCAGGGACGGGTAAGAAGAATGACAGGCAGAGCAGTCTGCTGGGGGCCAGGCAGCCAGCTAGCAAGGCTCTCATCAAGCATGGCAAGAGGGACATTGCAGCATATCATGGCCTGTTGGGTTTTGTTGTTCTAATGAACACAACAGTGCACTTAATTGCTTTGAAATAAATGAAAATCTGTGCCTTGTCAGAAATTTCTATCCAGGTCCTGAGGTAGAAGTGAGCAGCGGTAGGGCCCACTGAGATTAAGGCTTAAGGAGTGGTGGGAAATGAACCATTGTGTTACAAATTGCAACTGCATTGTCAGGTCTGTAAAGTAAGCTGTTACAGGGACATTCACACCACACCTGCACCCCATAGCACATTGTCTCTCTTGCCTACAATTGCTCACATCCTGGAGTGGTTAGAGTGCTACATGAACCATTAAAAGTGGAATGTCTTTAAAACATGGGCAGCTGCAGTGGGTACTTTCCAAGAGTAAGCTCAACAGTGTAAAAAGCAGAAACCTAAAGAGATTGGGAAGTAGCTACCGCATCCATGTAGTGCTTAATAGTGAGGGGTTGATGAGCTTGGCAGAGTTGCTCAGGTGTGGACAGCAAGGCTTATTTTATTTAATAAAAATCTCTTGTAATAAATTACATCTGCATGCTTGGAGACAAGACACTAACTTGTTTGAGTTAACGCTAATTGATTGGGATACTGATCACTGAAAATACTCTCTTGGCCTTGTTATTGCTGCCACTCAGTCAGCTGGGTGACAGAGACAGTATGAGTCTTTTATTTTAAATCTGTCCCTGACTTTCCCAATCGGAGCTACTGTGGATGCAAACACAAATGTGTGAAATACAGTGGAATCTGCCTGAGAGTAGGGATTGTAGGCTCCACAAGAACCCACGGCCAGAAATGGGAACTCGAATGAGTGCTAATTAATGTTCTCATGAAGCCACAACTTGGTAGCAGACACCAGGAACCAAACTTTCCTTTTGTCTGCTCCTCTTAGAGCACAGGATAAGAATGCAAATGACTGAATGTGCATGTTTGACAACCTCTATGAGGTGGTGTTGAGCTGGGAACCTCAATGACTGCTGCTGTACTTTAATGAGCTCTGTGATGCCCCAGGCTTAGTTTTATAGCTCCTGACAGGTAAAATTGCCAGCTAGCAGGAGAAGAGCCAAACGAGCAGCAGTGTCACTACCTGCCTCTCTTTTGTGTCCTACAGCTGCATCCTATGACAAGCGAATTGTGCTGTGGGATATTGGAATTCCAGACTGTGACTACAATTTCAAAGCAAGGTAAAGGTACAAAAAAACGTATGTGGCCAGTCTAGGAACCTCTAGCTACTGCTTTGCAGCACCACTTCACTGTTCTCTTTTTAGCCAGCTGCTGGTACTGGAATGTTTGTCTGTACCCTTACGGATTGCCCTGGTGCCCACCTGCCCAGAGCAGTACCTGCTGGCTGGCTGTGAAGAAGGCTGCTTTACGTGGAACATCAAACTGGAGAAAGAAGAGAAAAGCAGGTGAGAGCAACAGTTGCTTTCTATAACAACAGAAGTAGTCCTAACTTTATTTCGTATGGAGGTCTGTGCCAGGAATGCAGCGTGGATCACCAAACTTAAAGGGAGTAAAATAGGAGTCCCTGAAGCAAGCAGGCTCCTGGAAATTATAAAGTCCAGGTATCTCAAAAATTAATTTAAAGTGGGAATTAATCTGCTTTATCTGGAATGAGACTAATGTGTGGATTTCCATTTCTTGGGTTCTGTATCTAAGCACATTTTCAATGCTGCTCATTCAGGGCCTGAATTACTTTACTCTTCCTTCCCCAGGCCTTTTGAAGCCTCATTCAAATTTCCTGATGAGGAGGGAGAAATGTCAACATCTCACAGGGTTGATGGTTTGGCTTTTCTGAATGATGATGTTGTAGGTGAGTATAGACACGATAGCCAGATCCACAAGAGGTCAGGACCTTGGTGTGGAAGGACAATGCAGAGGAAGTAAATGGGGTGTAACTGCATCTACTGTAGATTCTGGAGTGCTGTGCTCAATGGAGTTTCCTTCTAGACTCGCTTATCCTTCTGTAAAGATGAGGTATGGAGTCATGTCTGAGCAGAGCTGGAAAAAAGATAGACTCGACACAGCAGACTTTGCTTAGCAGTACTGAAGTGGAAGGGAAGAACCCTTTGCTGTTCAAGGGCTACTGGAAGCCCTTTGCAGAGGATTGGGAGTTCCACAATTTGGAGGCTCTGTAAGGCTTAGGGTGGGTCTTTCTGAATAGCTCTGCCTGTTGCAGTTCTGGAACATGTGTGGGACTTTTAAAGAATCCCCCTGAAACTTCCAATTATCCTAAAATAAGGTAAAAGAAGTGGAAGTAGTTGCTGCTGATGTCAGATCCCATGTCTTGAAAGCCACCTTCTGGATGGACTGCCTTCCCCAGCTTTTGAAGCGCTTCTCAGCACCTTACATCATCTTCCACTTTTCTTCCCTAGTTTCCAAGAGCTCCAAACCAGGATGCATATACTTATGGAGCTGGAGTCGGTCTTTTGACAGTAAGGGAAAAGGAAGCCAGCGAACAGTGTCTGCAGTTATTCTAGCTGAACTGGAGTGGTCCACAACAGACTTGTCCTATCTCACACTCAGCACCTGCCCAGGTAGGCAGCACCCTTCTTCAGCACTCCCAAGCACCAAGGCTGCACCAGAGGCAGCCACGCTGCTTAAGGTAAACCTTGTTCACAGTTGCCTCCCACTCACTGGAGGAGTCTGTTGTTTAAAGCAGAGGAGCAGATTTAATTCCCAGGCCAAGAGAGCACAGCTGGCCTGCCACCCTTGAGCAACAGGAACCATTAACTTGCAGCACTGCACTCCCTGCACAGTGCAGCTAATGGGCACCTGCTGCATATAAATACTTGAGACTGTTCCTTGACTTTTAAAGGCAGAGGTGTTTTACCTTGGTGTGATTCACCTGTCCCAGTGCAGTGTAGGACTAACGAGGAGTAAAGAAACCTGATCTGAGCATCACTTTTCAAAACTATGGAGTCTGAATGGAGGTTTTTTTCCAGAGCTGGGTAGTTTAGTGTTGTTTTTTTTGTGCCAGAAAGATAATTTTGCTGGAATGTGACATCCTCTGTTGAGAGGATAAAGCACTGCCTTGAGCTCAGCTTTATAGAAGGATGGACCCTCAGCTCCACTCTAGTTTTTCTGCTTCTTCTTTTGGTCTTACAGCAAAACTGCATGTGTTCTGTGGTGATGAGAAGGGAAGTGTGTGGATATACCACCTCTCAAACTACACCACAGCATGGAGCTCTGCAAAGGGAAAACACTCAGACAAGAGAATCCCACCCACACAGGTAGGTCTCATTTACCCTTTGTGACAGAGCTGTGCTTCCCCTCCTCCCCAGGGCAGCTCTCTTGAGCAACTTCACACCAGAATATGCCTGCTATCTTCTCTACCTAACATTCATGGCCAATTAAAACCAATCTCCAGAGCATAACCAAGGCCACCTCAAATCACACACACGCAGTTGTGACAGGGATTATGAGCTGCAAAGCAAATCTGTTTGCTCTCGTGTGCTGTAGCTTGACAACTTTTCCTAGGAAAAGGCCTCTCTGAAAAAAATACAGTGGCTAAATGATATGGCCTGGCTGTTCCTGCACTGCTGTCTGGTGTGCAGCCACTGCTTCCCTGCCTGGATGAGTGGAGGGTGACAGCAGCAGCTGCTCCTCGGTAGAACTGCATGTGAGGAAGGGCAAGCTTCTGGCATATGTTCCTGCTTCCCTTTTGCTCATTCTTTCCCTGGCCTCTGAAAACACTCCTTTTTTGGATCAGTAGTGTGCCCTTATAGAGGTAACTGAGCAATTACACATTCACAAAGGCTGTGAGGCACATGTGGTCTTGAGCTCTAACTCTATTTAAGTATGATGTGACCTCATGTTCCATAAACATAAACATGCTCAAATCAACAGTCAGCAGTTGGAGGAGTGAGTGGGAGCTGCTTTCAATTTTTCCTTTCTGATCAAGTCCCTCTTGCACTGAATTTCAGTCCTTCAGTAGGACTGGCATGTACCTGCCTCCCTCAGGCAGGGGAACAACCTTTCTATTCAGCTCCACCATGTTGGATGTGACCCCTCTATTCTAGAAGTAGGTACAATCCAGGCCCAGTTGTCAAACCAGGCTTTGCAATAATTAACATTCACCAAGTTTCAGGAACAATGACACCATTCCTTTTCTACGCAAACTCTGTTCTCCTTGTAGATTCTCAAGTGGCCAGAGCTTCGAGCAAATGGAGACCGCCTGAGTGAAGTCTACATAAACAACGTGATAACAGACCCTACTTTCACTTACCTTGTTGCTCTCACTAGTGTGAACATTACAGCAATTTGGAAGAGGTCATAGTTACTTGTTATAGAATTTCATTCCCTTTGAAATAGTGCAGTATTAGTGACTGTTACCCATGTAACCATAAAGTTTTCTAGACCAGCTGTTACGTGCAAAAGGTAAAGAGTTCGTTAAACACATCCAGTCATCCAGTTCTTTTTTCTGTAAGTTTACACAATTTGTGCATTTGTTTTATAGAAATGACACTTAAACAAAATAAAACAATATAACAAATCTGCTGGCAGAATCTAAACTTCTTGAAATGGAAAACCAGGATTGTGATCTGCTACTACCACTTAGCATCTCCAAAGTGCAGTCAAACTGAGCTAGAGCCTAGTGCGCATAGTGGCATTAAGACTCCCATTAGAAAAGTAAAAATGATTTTAGTGAATTAAGCCATCAAATCAAACAAGACTTGGCAGATACAAACCTCCCCTCCCAATACTGCTGTCAAAAATAAATGGGATGAAAAGGAAAGTAATTGCCATGAATGAAGGTTTAAATAAAGCATTCAACTCCTAGACAACACGTCATTCTTCATCAGAAGTACAGTCCAGTCTTAGTGTGATAATTTTACTCGATTCCTTCCTGTTTGTCTTTGATGGCAACCTGTAAAGCACACAAACAGAACTGTCACGGAGCTGGAAGACGGTTTAAACACTGACCTCATCAGTCTGATATCAAACACCAGAACAAGTGCAAAATAAGGTGTAAGCACCCATGGAAGCCTGAGCAGCCAAGCAAATAATACACAAAAGGGGACTGGGTTGGAAGGGACCTCAAAGATCATCTAGTTCTAAGCCCTGTGTCACAGGCAGGGTTGCCAGGCACTAAATCAAGCATCAGATCGTATATAATTTGATTTTAATTACAGTGTTTTCTACACTAGCAAGATTATGAGGAAATCATTGGTAGAACTGTTACAGAACACCCATGTAACTCATGCAGGGCACACAAATAACCCTCAGGAGGAGGAGCCTGGCTTGTAAGGAAGTGTCCTGAGTAACTGCTTAGATGAGTTTATTGCCATAAGAGAGCACCAACTCTGGGATATACAATCCCTCCCTTTGGTTCAAAGCATGAGCTTCCTGCAGTGGAAAGAAATGAGCTCACCCTGAATCTTTCCTCCAGGAGGGACAGCTCACTGATCAGATCCGTGATGGCGTTGGTGAAAGCCTCCTGGGGGCTGTAATCTGGTGTTGTTTGAACACGGATGATGATTTTGTGTTCCAGGGGGTGTGGGACCTTGTAACCTGCAAACAACACCTGAGGGTCCTTCAGTAACTGCCTGGAAAGGAAAAGCAGCAGTGAACAAGCATGCATTAAAATATGCATCTGAACTTAAAGAAAGCCTCATTACTCTTAACCAGCCCCCCCTCCCAATTTCCCCAGCCCCTCCTCAGCTCACGACTTGATGATGTTCCCCAGCGTGTGGTCCTCCTTGTTGATGGTGAACAGACAGGCGTTGGGCACCTTGGTGTCCTTGTTGATGGTGATCCTACACAACGCAGGGGCCGTTAGGGCAGTGTTTCACTGCATACAACAGCCTGGGCGGCCGGAGGGGGGACCGGGGTGGCCGTACGGGGAGCCCGCGCCCCCCACCGGTCTCCCCCACGGCCGCCGGTCTGGTTGCTGCTCACTTTTTCTCGCCTTCGAAGAGAAGGAAGGACTCGAATGCCGGAGGAGCGTTCATCCCGCCGCCTCGCGCTCCCTCCCCGCCGTTCCCGCGGAGCCCAGAGCGCCACTTCCGCCCGCACTTCCGGTGGTGGCGCCCCCTGCCGGGCGGGAGGACTAGGCGCACGTGTCCTACAAAGACTCCGGACGCGGCGCGGGGCGGAACTGCACCTTTATTGCCACACTCGAGGCACAGCCCCCCTCCCTCCCTCCCTTCCGTCCCATCCCTGCCCGCTCCATCACGTCTGCAGCTCCTGCAGGGCGGGGGGCAGCTGGCGGTGGCAGCGCTCCAGGTCCTGCAGCGCCTCGAAGAGCCGGCGGAGCTCGAGGGACAGCGGGGGTCCTGGGGTGGGGGGGCATGGGGCACTGAGACCATCTGGGGCGGGGGAGCGGACCCCAAACACAGCGCTTCTGGCGGGGATGGGGCGCTGGGGGGTCCCTCCCTCTGTTCTCCCCTCCACTTCTACCTTCACCGCAGCCCCGAGGGCCGTTCTGAGGGCCCCCCGCCTCCATCAGCTGCCAGTACTTTTCCCTGCGGAGAAAGGGGGCGGTTAGCTGTGGGGCAGAGAGCACGCAGGAGGCCTTCCCCCCTTCTGGGATCCAACCTGAGAGGCTGCTGCAGGCCGTGGAGGTGCTGGAAGAGGCGCTGCGCCTCCACGTCGGGCTGCAGCGGATCACTCCAGTCCTGCAGGGTGATGCTGTGCCGTGTCCGGCCGCACCCTGGCCCTGTGGGACAGAGGGGCTGAAAATGGCGGGGACACCACTCCACCACCCCCACCCTGCATCCCGACACTCCCGTACCCGTCCTGTCCTTCTGGTGGCAGCAGCTCCACTTGTCCCCCCGGAAGACACCGGGGTGGTAGGCGTGCAGCAGCTGCGGGTTGTTGCCGCACACCTTTCGCAGGGCGGACAGCCACTGGTTCAGCTCGTTGACGCACTGCGGTGGTGCGCAGCACGGTGACACAGTGTGGTCATACAGCGCCCTGGTGGGTGACAGCCCCGTCCCCGTCCCAGCCCACCTTGCACTGCAGGTACGCCGTCTCCTGCTGCCCGGCCTCATCCACGTAGACCACCTGCATGACGTGGCAGCTCCCAAAGCTCTTCTCCTCCACCTTCTCGGCCGCGCGGATGTTGGCCAAAGCAATGGAGCCACACCTCTGCCATTGGGGACACAGTGCTCGGTGCTCTTCATGCCACAGTGGGATCCCACCACCCCGTGTCCCCCTACCTCCGCCCTGGGGCTCTTGCTGAAACTGAGGGCCTCACTGGTGAGGCAGAAGTGCAGCTTCTTGGAGGCGGAGGCGAGCAGCGGCCCTTTGCCCCGCGTCTTGTGGACAAAGAGCAGCCCCTCTTTCACCACAGCAGTGCGGGGGGCACACGGCCACCCCTTTCCATCCTCCTCCTCCTCCTCCGTGCCCACCAGCCGGGTGATGAAGGCCCTCATCTGGGAGGCTCCGTGCTGTAGGGCGGGTTGCAGCGGGGCCAGCCATTCCTCCTTGGCCCGCCCTGCCGCTGGCTCCATGTTGCCCACCATCTGCACAGCCTGCAGACCATGGGATGGTGGAGTCATTGCCTCCAGTGTCACCCGTTCCCCGCTGTCCCCATGTCCCACCTTGGCCAACAGCAGCAGTGTGCGGCTGGTGCGCGCGTCAGCATGCGTCTCCCTTAGGTGGAAGAGTTTAGGGGTCATGATGGCTGGCGAGAAGAAGCGGAGGCACAGGAAGCTGGTGACGGCCACGAACTGAGTGTGCTGCGACCACCGGAGGCACGAGATGTGTGAGGGTCCTTCCCAATGGCACCATACTTCATGATGCTTCAGGGTTGTGTGAACCTCACAGCCCACCCAGTTCCAAACTCCTGCCGTGGGCTGGCTGCCCCCCACCAGCTCAAACTGCCCAGGGCCCCGTGCAGCCTGAACTTGGGCATCTCCAGGGATGAGGCACCCACAGCTTCTTCATGGCACGGTGCAACACCAAATTCGCCCCATTCTTCCATCCCCCACTGCTGGATTTGGACCTGACCTGATGCTGGGGGAAGCGCTCCCCAACACGCTGGAAGAGCTGCCGGAAAGCAGCACGGATGACAGGAGGACAGGTAGGAGCTGACTTGCTGATGACATCTAGCAGCTCCCCGAGGTAGGACTGGAGGAGCTGGCGGCCCTGCTCCATCACCTCACTCTCTGTCTGCACACGGTGCAGCCCCGAGCACCTGCAGGCACCACAGACCCCATCAGTCCCAAGCACTCCGAGCACCCCCACCCACTGCAGCCCCCGTGCACCTTACCCAACATCTTTGATCTCCACCTTGCTGGGGTCCAGCTCCACGTACTTCTTCTCCTCAAACACCCGGGAGATGGTGGGCCCCAGCACCGCATGCAGGTACTGCATCCCTGTCACCTGCCCAGGGGACCACAGCATCCAACCTTAGGGGGTTTTCTCCAACTCTTGGCCCCACAGGCAGGCACAGCTCCCCGTGCCCTCCCCTTAGGACAGTGTGAAGCTGTGGTGAGCTGGAAAGAGCAGGGTTTGGGGTGAAGCTCCCTGTGGAGAAGGGGGATTTTGGGCAGCATCACCTTGAGGAAAGACTCCATTGACTTTGAGGCCAGGGAGTTGCTCCGGAACAAAGTATTGGGCTCACCTGTGAAACAGGAGAAAGTCTGTGGAGCAATCTCAGGTCACCCACCAGGCATTTCCACCACCTACGCCCTGCTCATTTTCACTGGAATTACAGGGAATTACAGGGATTTCCCAACCACACATCACCTGCCTCCACCAACTTCAGCCAACTTTAGCTAATGAGTTCCTTGGAATGAACCCAACGGGTTCCCAACCAGAGCACGCCAGAGGTTTTACAGCACCAAAAGAGGTAAGGAAGACCCAGCCCTGCTCCGCCCGAGGCTTACAGGGCTTGGCCAGCTCCAGCTTAAAAAGCAGGTCCAGAAACTCCTTCACCAGCCCTTGGCCCAAGAAGAGTTTCACCAGGTTGATGGCAACGTCCTGCCGGCACTCAGCCGTGGTGGTTTCATCGAGGAGGGTGACCAGGTGCACCCCGCCAGCCTGCAGGGACACGAGGACGTGGAGGCACAGTGGCAGCAGGCACCATGAGCACATCCCATTGGGGCTCTGCAGGGACCTCACCTGGTGCCCTGCCTTCACCTCCTGGCACAGCAGCTGGACCAGGGGCTGGTAGCAGTGAGAGGGCAGCACTGTCTCATCCCGCAGCCTCACCTGTAGCTGCAGTGAGCCCAGGCTGCCCCGGCGCCTGTAGGAACATGGAGAGCAAAGCCAGACCATGCACCCCACAGCATGTCCCTCTGGGACACCCCAAAACACTCACCTTTCCTCCCTGGGCTTGGCTGTGTCCGGCTGCAGCCTGAACCAGCCCTCCTGGTGCCCGGCTGCCTGCAGCCCCTGCACGCTGACCACCACCTGGAGGAGGTTGGGACAGGCTTACATCCCACCCCAGTAATGGGGCCATGTGGGTGCTTCTGGGAGCTCACCTTGCCCAAGAAGTCATTCTTGCTGACGAGGTCCCAGTCCCACACTTCTACACACAGCTTCTCTGCAGGGGGGTCAGGCAGCTCGAACTCGAAGGCTTCGTTCCAGCGAGGGTAGCAGGACTTCTTCACCACCTGCAAAGGAGATGGCTTTGTCCCCATGTCACATCCACCCGACCCCCATGGGGACATCAGGGATGGGGATAAGCTGAGCTGAGCTCACGGTGCTCTCCTGTGTTTTGCCATTGTAGCTCACACAGACAAAGGGGTCGGACGCACCGTTCCGGTCCTTCTTGGCCAAATCCCTGCGGAGGACAGGGTGAAATTCCCAGTGAGCCTCCAGAATCCCTACAGTGGGCACCCACTGCTCTCTGTCTCCCCTCCTTAGCTCCCCACTTCCTCAGGTACAATGGGGAAATGAGTCACGGAGCAGCCAGGACCACCAAAGCTGTCACCCCAGAAGTGGGACGTCCCCATCCCCAACATCACCTGGCCTCCAGCACGGTGCAGCGCAGCCGCTGGCCGCCCTCCAGGAGCTCCACACGGAGGTGGATTTCCCCCTGCACCTCCTCATCGGGGTCCACCTCGCTGAGGCTCACCCAGCCGCTGTATCCTGTGGGAACAGTGGGCACCATGGGCAGGGGGCATGGGGACACGGCTGGGTGTAGGGCTGGGGACACCCCGCTGTCCCCTACCTTTGGGGTGCTCTGCCAGCATGGTGCGGGTGATGCACACCTTCCCAATAACATCATCACGGCTGCAAGACACAACAGGGAGGTGGCACGGAGGGTGGCACCAAGGGGACGCAGAGCTCCTTGGCCACCCCTTGCTGCCAGGCAGTTTGGATGTCCCAAAGCCCTCAACTGCACAGCCATGTGTGGATTCTCTGCTGTCTGCTACGGGGTTGAGCATTGCCTTTCCCAACCCAACACTGCATTGTCCCCAAAGTGCTCTGCCTGTACCTGAGTGCATCCTCATCCATGACGTAGATGGAGATGCTGTGGAAGGTGGGATGGAGCTGCACCTCATACTCCTCCCCCCAGAATGGGGACAGCGTCTTCCACACCGTGGCAGTCCTGTGTGACAGATGGCACCAGTGACATTCCAACATCAGATGACCAGGACTGGTGCACAGCACCAGTGGCTGGGGTGGCTTACAGGTTGGCCATGGATTACTGGGCACTGGGATCCGTGTCTCAAGCCCAAAGCAGAGCTTTGGGAGCCAGATGGGAGTGGGCAGCAGGGCTGGATTTGCTCACCTGACAATGGCCTCATTGTCAATCTTCACAATGCAGTATGGGTCACTGCTCCCCGTGCTGGAAAGCAATGGCATGACCCCATTAGCACCGCAGTGACCCCGACTTCCCAGCCCTGACCACAGCATCCTGCTGGCAGCTGATGGCAGCTCCTTGTCCAGATCAGAAAGGAAACAAACAAATTCCACCCTTTCCCCAAAGCAGGAGCTCCAGGAGCCAACCCGGCCCTTCAAGCCTCAAAATGGACCCAGAACCCAGATCCCTCTGCAGGGATGGGGACAACCCTGGGGACACTGTGGTGATACAGACCCATGGTCACAGCGGTGCTCAGTGAGCTGGTAACAGCTCAGGTCAACGTTCCGGTGTGCTACTGCCAAAAAAACACCACTTTATGGCCAGCTCAGTTCCTGAGGAGGGTGACTCACTGGGGCCGGAGGCGGCGGAGCTGGTGGAACCGTGCTGGTTATGGGGGCGAAGGATTTTGGGTCCTCAGTGTGGGGCTGGCAGCTCCCAGGGGTGCTGGTGCCCCGAGCTGCTGGGGGAGCACAGGGGACCGGAGGGGTCCAGGAGGAGCCACGAGGCTGGGATGATGGGTTTGCTTGGGAGGTGACAAGCAGCAGGTTAGAGAAAGTAAAATAAACAAGGAAAAGCAAACAGCTGAGAGCTGCCTTGGAGCTGCAGGGACCTTGTCCCCACGCGCTGCATCCTGGAGACCACACGGGTGTCCCCGTCCCGGGGTGTCCCCACGCAGGGCAGCCCCGTGTCACGCCGGTTGCTAAGAGCCAGCTCCCCTGCGGGCAGCTTCGACACGAGCGCAGCGGATGAAGCACCATTAACCCCGCAGTATTGCTGACATTTCCTGCCTTGTGCAAACCATTCAGCGGGCGCTGAGCACACACAGCCCGATGCCATCTGCCCGGGCAGCGCACACAAAGCAGGGGATGCTCTTTGTCTTCCTGCGCTGGTAATGCAGGGAGGAGCCCAGCGATGTGCCATAGAGCAGAGCGTTATTCCGCCTCTTCATGGACAGCGTGGGGTCCCGGTGCCAAAGCAGCGCCGGGCAGGGGCTCGTAGGATGAAGGGGAGCACAGAGCAGGCAGGCAGGGAGCTCAGCCTGGAAGCAGCGTCGGTGAGGGTGGTGAAATGCGCTGAAATCCTAGCGGTGCCGTGCGGGAGCAGAATGGGGCAGCGGTGTCAGCGTGCCCGGGGACACACCGTGCCGTGGGTGGGTGGGTGGCTGCGGGCAGACTCTGACCCGACAGCAGCGCTGTGACATCTCGGATTTCCATAGGGAAATCACAGCGATCCCAATGGCGGGGGGACGGGGTGCCGTAAATCCCGGAGCACAGCGAAGAGGGATGGAGCTGTGCCCGTGGCACCATCCCAAGCCGCGTTCTGTCCTCCGAAAGGCAAAGCCCCCCCGCGCCGGCTCAAGGTCCCCGCAGGGCATCGTGCCAAGGAACTGAAAAACACGAGCCCTGACACACGGAGCTTAAAAAAGCCAGAAGCTGTGCTTCTTTCCTTGTTTATCCTCTTTTTCCATGACGGCTGCGGGGTTTTTTTGCTGCTTTTCCAGCATTCTGCAGTGCTCCTTAGTGGCTCCCCATGGACGGATCCCCCCTGGGCTGTCCCCATCCCACCCAGTGCTGTCCCCAAATCTTGCCCCGTAGAGATGGGAGCTGGAATAATGCTGGGACGCACAGACAGCCCTCTGGGGGCTGCCAGGAGGGAAATCCCCACCCGATGAGGACAGCAACCCCTGCAGCAGGTGCTGGAAAAGGGACAGAGCCAGGGGTGGCCCCAAAGCATTCAGAGCTGCTGGGACACCCCACTTCAGCCTGACGGGAATCCCCAAAGCACGGGCACTGCTGGGAGGGTCACCTCAAAGCCATCCTGGGGGAAATCCTAAAGGAAGGGCTGCCCCAGTGTGATCCAGGGGGTAATCCCAAAGCCATCCAGGGAGGAAATCCCAAAGCACTGGGGGAGGATATCCTGAAGCCATCCCAAAGAGCTGGGAGGAGTCACCCCAAACCCACCCTATAGGGACCCCAATGCATTGGGTGGGAGTCACCGTAAAGCCCTGGGGAGGGATACCCCAAAGCTCTCCCGGGGGCCGGAGGCAAAGTAGCATGCAGAACCAAGATGCCAACCCCCGGTCCCGGCAGCACTCACATGTCCTTGGCGGGCAGGTTCCTGCCCTCCACGATGCGGATGGACAGCACGCTGCGCCGGGCCATGGCGAGGGAGGGAGGGAGGGAAGGAGAGAAGGAGCGGGCAGCGGAGCGCGGCCCCGAACCCGCGGCCACTGAGCCCTGAGCCCATGTGCGGGCCGGCACGGCGGGCGGCCAATCAGAGAGCGGTTCTGGGCAGGTGGGCGGGGCTTAAGGAAATGGGCGTGGTCTTATATAGAGCGTGGGCGGGGCCTGGGGCTGTGGGCGGGGCCGATCGTGCGCAGCGTGGCCACGGGGCTCGTGGGGGCTGCAGGGACCCCCACATTTCTGAGCCCCCCAAATGGGGCAGCGGGACGTGCTGCAGCCCACAGCTCGGCACCGTGCTGTGTTTCTCACACAGAAAGTGCTCTAATGCTCCAAAACTCCATGTACCCCTGGTGCATCCTCAGACCACCTTGTGCCATCCTGTGCCACTCTGTGCCACCCTGTGCCAGACCCTGCACTCAGCCCAGGGACACCAGGGGTCACCATGGGGACACCACGGAGGCATCATAGGGACATCAGAAGGACACCCTGGGGACACCACGAGGGCACCATGGGGACATCATAGGGAGGGACATCATGGGGACATCGTGGAAACACTGTGAGGACGACATGGGGACATAATACGGACACCATGGGGCACCAGGCAGACACCATGAGCACCCCTTGAGGACACCTGGGGCACCCTGAGGGACACCATGGTGTCTTGGCAGGGAGACCACAGAGACACCCTGGAGATACCACAGGGACAATGTGGAGGCTCCGTGGGGACACTACGGGGGCACTGTGGGATCACTACAGGGACAGCATGGGGACAAGCTGCCCTACAGCTGGGGGCGGTTGGCAGCTGGCAGTGAGGCAGTCATTATCACTGTTCTGGAAATCACAGGATTTTCTGCTTCCCGCAACCATGTGCACTGCAGGTGTTCCCTTCCCAGGTGCAGGTGCCATGGGGGGAGCCTGGCAGAAGCGCCTCGTGATGCACAGCACAGCACGGTGTGAGCTGAGCCCTCCCCCAGTACAGCCCACAGACAGAGGCAGACGCACAGCACACATGAATCTGTTTATGTCCCAGTCCATCGCTGAGGGCAGCGACATGATGGCACGGTGACACGGTGACATGGTGGCACGGTGTCCCCCCTCAGAGCCGTGCGGCCGACTGGTCGTACACGTGGTGGGTGTTGTAGCGATGGATGGACGCCGAGTCCGGCCTGAAGCTGCCCACACCGCACGCCTCGGAGCTGGGGGAGGACACAGCATGGGGACACGGCGCGTTGTTGTCACCCATCGCCATCCCTTGTGCCCTATGGGACTCACCTGCACAGCATGGCCAGGAAGGCGGCCAGCAGGATGGCCAGCAGCACCGACAGGATGGCGGTGATGGCGATCATGGCACCGCTGCGGCCACTGCCTGTCCCAGGGCTGCTGGGGATCGCTCGGGCTGCAGGGAGAGCACAATGGGGCTGTGCCTCAGCTGCCCCACTGTCCCACTGTGGGCCACCCTCACCCCGGTACCTGTCCTCAGTGTGATGGGCCCCGACCATTGCGTGGTGGCTATGGACTCAGAGTCATTCAGCGCGAGGAACTTCACCCTGCGAGGAGATCACAGAATCTCTAGGGCTGGAAGAGTCCTCTCAGATCCCCCAGTCCAACCCCAAACATCCCTCAGTGCCACATCCCCACAGCTCTTAACACCCCTAGGGACATTGATCCCCCCCTCCCTGGGCAGCTGTGCCACTGCATCACTGCCATTTCTGAGAAGAAATTGTTCCTAACAACCCACCAATAGGGCCCAGGGCTGGGCAGGGGCCCATTGCAGTTGGGTACGGAGGCGTTGTCAGCACAGCTGGTCTCGCTGCCCACACGCAGCACGGTGAGCTCCCTGTTGGGTTCAAGGCAGCGGTAGTGATACTGCATGGCACCCAGCGTCAGGTAGGCTGAGGTGTTGGCAGGGAAGCGCTGGAAGCTCCACTCGGGCATCCCCGGCTGTGCGCTGTCATTGAAGTCACCCATGCCTGCGGGGATAGGGGTGGCAGTGAAGGGGAGCACTCCAATAGAGCCCCATCCCTCCATCACCCCACTCACCTGCACGGGTGGCCACCACCAGCCAGATTTCAGCCGTGTTGTACTTGTCGAAGATGCAGCGGGGCTGCTCCAGCACGAAGGTGCTGCCCGTCACACGGCCCTCCAGGTCAGCCAGGCGGGGTCTGTAGGACAATTTGTCTGCAGCAGAGCAATGAGAAACAGGGTGGCTGTGGGATCTGGACATGGGGAGGAGAGCAGCTCCCCGCAGCCACCACCCATTTTGGGCTCAGATGCTGCAAATATCGTGAAAAGGGGCAGCAGGCAGTGCCACCATCAGGGACACCCCAGGGGACCCTGTGCTGTGCTGTGGGCTGAGCCTGGTGACACCAAGCAGGGTCCCAATCTGCGGGTGTCACCCACAAAACCCACCCTCCAGAACAGACCCCCTCTGCATGCACAGGGGACACCCCAAGCAGGGCCAGCAGACCATCCCCCGCCCCATTATGTGGCTCCACGAGCCCCCCGTGGTGCACACTCACCCAGGCCGTGGGCTGTGGCCAGCAGCAGGAGCAGCAGGAGCAGCAGCGGGCGCATGGTGCTGGCGCTGAGCTCGGAGTGCGGGCGCAGGGCGGGGGACAAATGCCTTGTCCCCCCCACAGGACCCGCCTGCGGCCTCCAACCACCCACATTCCTGCGCGGCCGCAGCCCCGCGGCAAACAGGTCGGGCTCGTTTCCCTGCAGAGCATTATGCTACGGCTGGGTGCCCACTGGGTGGTGTGCTGAGCACTGTCACGCTCGTGGCACGGGTGGGTCCCAAAATGCCATCCCCAGACGGGTGTCGGTGTCCCCATCCCATGGTGAACAAAGCATCCAGCATTGTATGAGCCGTGTGCCCCAAGATCATAGAACAATCACAGAGCCACGGTTTGAGTTAGGCTGGTCCCACTGCCTGCAATGCACGGGGACACCCACAGCTCCATCTGCACTCAGAGCCCCTCCAGGCTGACCCTGGGGGTCTGTAGGGATGGCGCACCCAGCACATCCAGGCCATGTCCTGGTGGTTGGGTTGAAAGACAACAAAAGAAGCGATTAAGGATGGAAATGAGTTTACTTGGTGGGCCACGGGCCACGGGGCTGCGGCGTGCAGCCACAGATGCAGGCAGGGGGCAGCATGTGGGGCAGGGCTGGAGGGACGTGGTGGGTCCTGTAGGGCAGGTGGGCACCTGGGTCCTGGCAGCACAGCGGGACACACACATGGGTGCTGTAAGGAGAGATGGGTGAGGGATCAAGCAGGGTCCATGCAGCTCAAACACCACAGAAACCACCCCATCCCATCACCAAAATACAGCAACCCTCCCAATTTAAGAAAAAAAAAGTCTTAAAATCCCCGTGCCCCACTCGTACCCCACAGCTCCCAGCATGGCCATGGCCAGCGCGGCACCCAGGCTGGCCAGGATGGCGGCGATGATGACCGCGGTGCTGCTGCGACGTGCTGGTGTGGGGTCAATGGTGCTCAGGCTGCGAGCTGGAAGGGCACAGGATGAGGGGTGGCACCCGGGGTTAGAGTGGTACGGGGACATTGGGGAGCTCTTTCCCCCTTTGGTTTTGGGGTGGTGGCAAGGAGATTGCAGCCCTATTCCCACCAGTACCTCTCCGCAGGAGGATGGGGTCAGACCACTTCGTCTCTGCTTTGGGGCCACTGCAGCCCATCAGCAGGAACTTCACCCTGCAGGATGCACACCTCTAGCACCGGTATGGGGACAGTGCGATGTCCCATCCCACAACCTCACCTGTAGGGCCCCGGGGAGGGCAGTGGCCCATTGCATGGTGCCCGGCCGCAGCACTCCGTGTCCCCGCCAACCCGCAGCACGGCTGCACCGGGAGCTGAGCATCCATAGGCGGCTGCCGCCATCTCCAGTGTCATGTAGGCACGGGCGGTGGGCAGCCCCTTATATGGGGGCACCTCAGCTCTGGATGTGGGGTTTTTGAAGGCGGTGTAGGCTGCGTGGCACAGATGTGGGGTGAGCAGCTGGGGGTGAACACCCCCGATGCCCCCCACTGCAACACACCCTCACCATCAGCAAAAGCCACTGCCAGCCAGACGGCATCAGAGGCATTGGCAAGGGGGTCGAAGATGCAGCGGGGTCTCTCCAGCACAAAGGTGGTGGCCGTCACCTTCCCTGGCATGGCATCAGGGGCCAAGCGGGGCACATAGGGCAACAGAGCTGGGAGCACAGCAGTGAGTGGGAGGCCCCCCAGCCACACACAGTCCCTTAAACCCCTCCCCAGCACCACTACCCACTGGAAGCCCCTCGCAGCCCCCCAGATTCACCCAGGCCAGCAGCTGCGTCCATCCCAGCCAGCACCAGCAGCACCCTCAGCAGATCCATGGCAGCGTCCGTTCTGCACCGACTCGCTCCATCCCACTGCCGAGGGGCCAAGCTGTCCCCGTGCCCCCACCAAGCACGGCCCTCCCAGCCCCACATTCCTGCACTGGCTCCACCAGCACAGCAGGACCCCGCAGGCAGAGAGGGACAGGGCCCCTCCCAGGTCACCACAAGTCCCCAAAACAGCCCTGGGCTGTTTGACCCCAGAAACAGGACACCAAGGATGGAGACACTGCTCTGTGATGCAAAAGGGGAAACCAAGGCACAGAGGTGATACTGAAGCTGCATTTGAAGGACTGGGAAGCCTCATTAGGGCTATGGGGGAAATAAGGTGAGTAGGCCTTTTACCCCATTACTGCCTGAATCCCACGAGTGCCACATGACCCCCCGGCACACAGAGCCAGACTTGTTATGGGTGCAGCCAGCACTGCCCTGAAGGCAGGGAAGTGCCTGGAGCCATCACACCCCAAACTCACTCCAAACCCAAAGCACTGAAGGGTGACTGGTCCCACCCAGTACATAGGGTGGGGTGGCAGCCGAGCTGCCATCTCCCCATTCTTGCCCTATGCAGGTTTCGGGGCCAGGCTACCTTTCCTTTTCTTCACCCAGCAAGAATTTCCCTGGCCCCCCCCAACCCTTAACATGGGGATGGAAATAATGCTGCCTCTGGGCAGGAGCTGCGCCAAGGCTCAGAGCCACCCCAGCAGCAGGGCTGAGTGCTCTCTGCACTGTTTGCCAAGGGCTGGGGCTGCCACTCCTCTGCACGAGAGGATTTCTGACTTATTCAGATTAAGTGGAAATGGGGCATCCAGAGATTATACAGTGCTACTGGGGAGGGGAAAACCTGGCACAGCTGCAACCAGCCTCCCTGCACTGGGACTAGAAGGCTTTCTGTGAGTTTGAAATGGGAGGAGCTGCTAATTGCAGAGATCAGAGAGCTGGGTACATCTGTGAACACCTGTTTTCAAGGGTGAAGCACAGGAGGAGCAACATTTCATCAAAACTCTTCTGACAAACACCTTGAGAGCCCAATTGCACCCATTTCCACTGAACCACACATCAATGCATGAGTTTCATGGAAACAAGGCCAGATATCCCATTAACCTTATGGTTTTGTTGCTGTTTCTTTTACATTTTAATTAATATATGTACAAAAATAAGTTTTGTTACTTACATACATTAACTCAGTTATATATTTTATATGAGGCCCAGAGGAATTTCTCTTCACTCAACACCGCCCAGGCAAGCCAACAGGTTGGACATCCATGGATTACACAGACCAGCTGGGGAGGGGAGAACCAGGCACAGCTACAGTCAGTCTCCCTGTGCTGGGAGGAGGAGCTGGGGAAACTGAGGCACAGCAGCAGCCCACTCCTCAGGGTGAAAGCCACACCAGCAGCTGCTGCTGGGGATGCTCCAGAGCTGTGCCTTCAGTGCTTGGTGGGGTGACATCATGTGGGGGCAGTGAGTCAGGCTGACAGTGCAGCACCCAGCCCCAGACAGCCCTGAGGTGGGGAGGCTGCAGTTGATTGACATACAAGAGTGCTCACTCAAGGGATGGCTCCAACCACACTCGGCAGGAAATTCTTGCTTTGCGTAGAGAATTTTCACATCAGCACATTGCTTTGCTCCCTGGGACTTCAGCAGTGCTGTAGTTTTCAGCTGAGCTGTAAACTAGAAACCTCCCTTTTGCAAACAAGGCAGAACAGTGTCTTTACGCAGAGCCCAACAAACCCCAGCCAGCCCAGAAGAGCACCCTGTTTTTGCAGCATCCCCAAACAAAGCCAGCAATTGTTCTCTCCATGAAGCCTGTATGTAGCAGAGGGTGATAACTGATGCTCAGAGGGTTAAGCAAAGGGTGCAAGGACAAAAAGGACACTGGGTACAAGCCCCCAGTTCTTAACATCTCCAAAACCCCTTTCATTTTTGTATGGGCATGACAGAGGGAGGCCACATGGAGAAGAACATCACTGCAGGCAGCAGCAAGAGGGAAGCACAGGGCCTGTCACCACCCAGTGGCATCAGCACTCCCTGCAGCATCACACCATGCCAACAGCACAAAGCTGCATCAGGCACAAAACCACAGCAGCTGGCCACAGGGCTAAGACACAGCCCCAGAACTGCTGCTGCTTCCAGGAGAGGGGAGGCAGGAGTGAAACAGCAAGCCAAGCCCCCAGGCTCAGCACATGGCATCCTGCCCCTGCAGAGAGCTGGGGTCCTCCAGCAGAGCTGAGCTTTCCCTCCCTTCTCCTGTCTGGATCAAGTGACACCAGCTCCACAAAGCAGGCTGGGCCCTCAGAGGGGAACACAGACAGAGAAGGAACCCTGAGCCATCAGGCAGGACAAAGGCGAAGCAGCAGCTCTCCATGGAAATGAAGTGTTTATTACAACCAAGAGATACAGGCATCAGCTACAGGGGCAGGAGGCTTTGCTCAGAAGGAGCTGCAATGAGAAGAAGGGAGGCCCTTCTCTTCTTTCCAAGTGCTCTTACAGGAGAGAGACACTCCTGTCACCCCAGACAGACCAGGGCTGGGATCCTGCCTCACAAGGGGCCCTGTCACCTCACCCACCACCACTCTCCTAGCTGCAGACACCAACCTACCTGGACATATAGTCACACTTTCTACAAAAATAGCTTCCCTCCAGGAAAAAAAAAGAGACTGTACAGAGTACACAGCACTCCCACATGACAGTGTTATTGCTTAGTGTGACAGATGGTCAGACACAGGAACTTAAGGCAACAGGAATAAGTGCACTGGGTGGGCCCCTGGGCATGGGGCCACAGAGATGTGCACAGCCCAGCTGAGCCCCTCAACACCACTCATTTTCTCAGGCAGTCCTCGGTGACGCCCTGGGCAGCCAGCTCTGCCAGCACATTGTCCAGGTAGTTGGGGTCAGGGTAGCCATGGCCACTCAGGTTTGTGTCCATCTCTGTTTTGTGGTGGATCTCATTCCACACCACTGTGTTGCTCTCACCAGTGGTGCTGGAGGTGCCCACTGTGAAAATCAAGCGCCTGTTCCAGGCCACCTTCAGGAGCTCCAGGACCTGGGTGGGGAAAGATGGGAAGGAAAGAAAAAAAAAACAAAAAACAGTCAAAACTGTCCTTCAGCAGCTAAAGCCATGAAAGCTGCTTGCCAGAAGCTTAACAGCCTAAATCCCTGCTGTATCAGGAGACCAAGGAAACAAGGTCCCTTCCAACACTGATGTATCCCCCTGCCACTTATCTGGTGCCCCAGTAGGAAAACCCATCACACAACACCTTACCTTTCTGCCTTTCTCATTGTCTGGTAGGTAGCAATAGCGAGGAAAGCCTCTTGCTGTGTAAGGCATCCCTGGGTTGGGGTGCTCAGGGCCCTGCAACAGATAAGATGTATTTGGCACTTTCATCCTCAGACAGCAGCAAAATTTGGGATAAGATTTGGGATAAGCAGGAGGATTTGGCAGTCCTATATCAAGGCAGCTCTTCATGTGAAAGCAGCAGAGCACTGCTAATTGTAGGAGGTATCTGACAGGTTCCTATGGGACATGCTACATCATGGGTCCTCCAGGAGGTGCCGCATGCTGGGATACAGGTAAAGCCAGCTCTTCAGATTATGTGAATTCTGGTGGCAGAAAATCCCATACCACAGCTTTTCCACATGGCCTGAGGAAACCCTCAGGCATCTTTGGCAGGCTGCTCAGCAATGGGCTGCCTGCAGGCAGCGTGTTGGTGCCCTGTACTTTTATGGGAGGGAGGCCCTCACAGCTTCTGCCAGCAGGCTGCAGCTGTTCCCAGGAGCAAGCTGTGCTCACCTGAATGCCTCTGCTGATGTGGTAAACGATCTGGATTGTCCCACAGTCCCTGTGGCCAGGGAGGGATTGAGGGAAAGTGGAGACCTCCATTTTCCCTTTGGGCTGAGTACCAGTTTTCTCTCCATAGATGGTCTTACAGGAGGGGCACTGCAAGCTGCCATCCTGTGGGGAGAGAAGCAGGTGTCAGAGCTCTGCAGTGCATCACCCAGACACAAGGCACATGGGAGATGGACTGGCTCAGTACCTTGTTTCCATTGGAGTACATGGCCAGCACACAGAGCATGTGGAAGGAGTGCTGGCAATTCGTCAGGCGACCGACCATCTCTGGCTTGATTGTTCTGCATTCACAAGCATCACTGTAACCTGAAGGAGAGGCCAGCTTCTCCATGCAGATGATACAGTCCTGGAGTACAAGACAGCAAGGAGAAGGCCACCATGTAGCACCTTACAGAGCAGTTAGACAGCTTGTGTGTACACCCCCACAACCCCTCACCTCATCTGCAGGAGCGCCCTTCACCTCCACCAGGTACTTCTTCACCACTGCTTCTGGGTCGGTTGGTGCTGCTGCACAAGGAGAGAGGAGGACATCAGACATACCATGAGGTATACAGGCACTGCAGGGTGACAGCCAGTAACTGGCCAGGATGCCAAGGAGAAAGGTATGGGTTAGAAAGGAGAGAAAAGGCTGCTCCAGCCAATCCACAGAAACCCTGCAAAAGTTCCCCCTGCCAGGAACAGCTAATGCTGGGACTGAGTGCTGCAGATGGGAGAATCCACAAGCACAAGCCTCTGCGTGCTCAGGTTTCCCATTAAGAGGGTGGGAAATGCCATGTAGCAGTGGATGCTTGCACCCTGTGCAGCACACTCTGGGGGAATCACTTGCAGCTGCTATGCTCTGGGTGCCCCTATGTATCCCAAGTAATGTCAGCCAGGTCCCAGCTGAACTTTCTGTGCAGCTACAATCCAACTCAACTCAAGGACATAGTAGACTCAGTGGGAAAGAATTCTGTCATAGGCTATTAAAGGAGAAAAGGCACTCCCACACCACTCAGCTGACAAGGAACCTTCTCATACCATGAGTAAGACACTGCCAAACCCTGCAGCTGGCCACTTCAGGAGAAACCTAGCCATGAACTGAGCAGCAGACCTTATCTTGAGTACAGCAGAATTAGCCTTGCATCTTTAACAGAGAACAGTGGCTCTTCTCTTGAGCTTTCACACACTCGAATCTAGTAAAACACAACACAAGTCAAAAGATACACAGAACAAAAGAGTTTTATAATAGGTGCCCTATCTGCAATACGAAACATTGACGTTTCCCTGAGCATAACCCTCTTCTGCCAAGGGAGGAGTTTGCTTACCAAAGCACAGCAAGCACATGCCCCATCCTCTCTGAAGTGTTACAGGATTAAGCACCAGACATCACACAAGACCCTGGTCTGGTTAGGGCCAACAGCATCAGCTGTCACTCAGCTCCCAGCCAACCCCTTGCTGGGAATTGCACTGCCTGGCCAGGCCTGGATCCAGCCAGTGGGCATCACACATCTGCACTGCACCCAGCTGGAGCTCCTTACCCATCACCAGGCCCATCACAGAGGGCTACTCCAGCCTACAAAAGGAAATATTTGTACAAGTGAAGTTAGGGCTGCAGCCAGCAGGAAGCAAAATGAGACCTGCCACTTGGCACAGGGGGCTCCTCACTCTTCCTGCTCTGCTCCAAGCCTGCTTCTGGGGAGATGAAGGATGAGATGCACCAAGGCTGCTCTCCTCTGTCCTGGGGCAGACAAATTCTAACAGAGGTTGGACAGCCACAAGCACCAATGCTGTTACCCTGGGGCTTGCAAGGAAGGTGTACTCCAACGCTCCCTCAATGAACAGTGGGTTCTATTTTCCAGATAACCACTTCTCATGGTAGAGCCAAACACGATAAAGCAGACAGGAAGGACTGCTCACATGCCAAAGCCAGCATGAAACTGGCAGAGATCTGTCAGTTGGCACAGACATGAACCAGGCAGGAGACTGATTTCTCTGAATGCCACTAGCAGAGATGGGCAAGATGCAGACAGGAAGAATGCACCTCTTCATTGCAGAGCTAGATCCAGGGCAACGCAAGAGATGAGGCAATGAGCTAACGTGGGTGGAAAGCCATTTCACTAAGGAAGATGGATGAACTGGGTGCTGGACTCTCCAAGATGAAGGCACAGTCATTAAGACAAGTTATTTTAAGATGGGGATTCCCGGCCATTCTGAAACATTTGATATCTGGCAGCGTGAAAAGCAGGAAGGTATGACTGAGCACAAAAAGAGAAAATAAGCCTGTGATGTGAGAGGATGCTCCTCTGAGTGCTGGCGCCAGGCAGGAGATGTTGATGGCTCAGCCACAGTGGGGCTGAGAGATTACTGCCCTGGAACCCCTCAGCCAGGAAGGTGCTAACAGGACACACTAAGCATTAAGTCAAACACAGGAACTTGGAAACAGTAGTCTTCCACTTCAGGAGCACGCCAAAATTCCTTGGAAAAGCATTTCCAATGGCTGCCACAAGAAGAACAGGAAACAAACAGGAGCCTGAGCGAGCCTCCACCTTCCAGCACTCAGGATAAGAGCTCAGCAAAGCCAGGAGCTGCCTCAAGGTCTCATCCTGACCTCATGGGGAACACTGTTATGTCATCCTCTCTGCTGGGACCCTGCTCACATGCAGTGGATCAAGACAGTGTGCCAGTCCAAAACAGTGGCACAGGGATGCCATCTGCCTGAACTGCCTCTGCTCATCCTCAGCTCAGCCCACCAACTCCTGTAGCCAAATCCGCCCCAGCAGAGTGCTATGTGATGTCCCTGTCCCAAGCTCCAGCTGACAAACACAGCATGGCACTGCTCATGTGTGGCAGTTGGATGTGGGCAACTGCAAGAGACTGTCACAGGGCAGCAGGAGGCTTCAGCTTCTGCTCTGCCAGTTTTAGAGAGGATGTGTGCACAGAGCAGGCTGCTACCCACCATAAGTCCATCCTCTTCCTTAAGTACTGATCACAGTGACTGCGTTTGCATTCCTGAGGGTCCCGTGCTGCCCACCAGGCTGATCTCAAGTCCTCTATCTTGGCTGGTTTTCAGGTGTCTCTTCAAGGTGACCTACCTTCTCATTTCCTCTGGCTACAGGCTGGAGAGAGCAACGCCAAAAAAATGCACAGATAAGGTGGTACAGACAGCAAGGGAAGCAAGCAGAGCATGTGTCCAACCAGCAGCAGTGCCTGCCCAGCACCTGGCTCAACACCCTCAGCTCACCTGCATGACAGATTTAGCAGCTTTAGAGCTATTCACCTTGCCATGGGGTACACTTGCCATGCCCCAGAGCAGAGCAGCAGCCTGCCCAACTAACAGCTGTTGCACGAGCCACACATTTCCACACCGGAATCACTCACATACTGCACCATTTGCTCTGTGGAAGCATTTGCTTCCAAGCTTTTGTTCTAGCCATCCCCTGGGATCAAAGCCTGCTTAGACTCCATGGTTTTCAAGATTAATAGGATTGGTCAATTCTGCTATTGCATCTTCAATGCTGTTTACCACCAGCTGGCTTAACACTGTGCTATTGATCTATCCAGGACGTGAAGGAATGTTTACCATAAGGAATAATGATTTTCCTTAATGCTTCCCCTTCCTCCCCATAGATAATAAGCCGCCTGCTGAAGCGAGGGCTTTCCAAAGGCAACATTTCACAGATGTGTTTTGAATCCTCACTCAGCAACCAACTGCTTGCAGCAGCGACACCTCCTTCCTGTCCCCAGGAGAGCCATACAGTGAGCAGCACACAGGCTCAGACAGGCTGTTTCCAGCAAGTGCCATGCAGTCACCCAACACCTGTGGCTGGGAGCTGCAGGCTACTACTGGCAGCACACTGCCTGCCCAGCAGTGGGTTTCCCCCAGACATGCAGCACAGTGTTGGCCTGTGCCAGACATCACTGCCAAATAGCAACACCATTAACGAGTCTTGACTAATTAGTGCCTTTGAGTATAACCCAGCTTCCCAGAAAGTTGGATGCAGTTCTGTCAACAACACCTTACCCAGATTAGTGTGCAGGTACAGGTTCAGTGTTAAGGCATTTTCCAAAGCACCCCACCAGGGCTGTGAGGCCAAAGCACAGAGACCTCTAGGGCACTTTCTTGTAACAGAGCTAGCTCTGAGATTTGGGACAGTGCCACAGCAAAGGGCGGAGCGTGCCAGCAGGGTAAATACTGCCATGTTTCTGCTGCACCCAAGAGGAAGGACTGGAGCCTGCAGGAGGCAGCAAGAAGGACTCAGCAGGAGCACACTGCACCCACCACCATCTATCTTGGTACCAGTTGCTGGCACTCACACTGATGTGCCTGCATAGCTCTTGCTGGAGCTCTTAGGGACAGAAAAATCTGGAGAGGTGTGGAGATGCAGAAATTCAGGGCACAAGACGGACCTGTGTCTGCCTATTATAGCTTCAGGGTTTATAAGAAAGAGAACAAGAACAGTCTGACAAAGTCAAGCTCATTACTGTTACTACTCCTTGACCATCAGGAGTGTTGCACAGGCACAGCTTGCTCCTGGGGGCACTGAGACCCTCCTCATGCAGCAGTCATGTGCTCAGCACTCTGCAGGTACAGCCTCCCTACCCCCAGCAAAGGATGTCCTGCTTTCTAGCTTACTACATCTTGTTTTGGAACAGAGAGGGGCGCCCCCTCCCCCTCGATGAGCACTGGAAGCAGCAGAGCTGGCAAAGCATCTCCTCTGCAGCATATCCTGAGCAAAATGGTTGGACTGAATCCTGCTATGCCAGATGGAAGGAGCCGCACTGTGCTCATGTCACAGACACAGTTCCTTCTGCTCACATCCCCTCTCTGCCCCTAGGCTGAAGGTTCCCTGGTCCCACTAGGTGGCATTGCTGAGCCACAGCAGGGAGCTGGCACAGTTCTCCAGAGCAGCACCGGGCACAGCTCCCACAGCTACCCTGTGCCATACCCACAATTCAGATCCCAAAGGCCAAGCAGGAGCCTGGCTGCATGAAGGCAGCACTCAGCAGCCCTGCCCAACTGTCAGTCAGGGTGGAAAGAAACAGCCCAGCAGGCAACGTGTGTGTGCCGCTGGGTGTTGCATCAAAACTGATGGAGAAAAGTACACTGCTGTAGCAGCAGGTCACACCTTGTTGCAGTGTACAACAGCTCTGCAGCATTAACCATCATTAGCTCTGCTGCTGCACAGTACATGGTGTGCAGCACAGGGCAAGGGCTGAGGAATGCTGCACCAGTCCCTCCAGCTCTGCCTCTGCTCAGTTCTCCTCCTCCAGCTCTCATGTTCACATCTGCTCTTCCCCACTTTTCCCCCTGCTTTCTCCTCCCCCTCCCACACATCCTACTCCACATGTAGTGCCTCTCATTGCTGCCATTTCCATCTTCTCCCCGCAGTTCTGTACGTAACACAGTTCCGCAAGGCATCTCCTTCCACATTAAATGTCTGTTTAGTGTCCCCCTTCGGAGGGGGTTTGCCCCCATCTCCCTGCTGAGCTCCCTCACTGCACATGCTGGCTCTCAGAACCAAACACCAGCAAGCTCCAACACAGCCAGGTGCCTCCCCACCACTGTCATGAGGTTCCATCTGCTCCTGAATGCAGACACCTCCATGCTGGGCACCCATCTCAAGCAGAGAGCTCCCTCTGCTTATCTGCAGGGAGGAGCTGGCTGCCCACCCCAGGACACAGTGATCCTTATGGGTCCCTTCCAAATTAGGATATTTTATGACACTCATTCCAGCAGTTCCATGGAAATCACACACCATGGGAACCACACTCCACAGCAGATACCTTCAGCCTTCAAGACAGAGGATGCAGGATGCCAGCAGCACTGCAGGGCAGGAGCCAAGCCCTGGGGGCTCATCTCAGCAGGGAGCAACCCAGCCCTACTTGCCACCACACAGCCACCAGAAGGGGTTCTACTCCCTTCTATCCCAGACAGGAGTGGAGAAAAACCCATCCCAGTTTGGCCCTGAATGCCCTACGTGACTCAGGAACCTGCTTGGCTGCAGGATCCTCCTCACCTTGTGACTCAGCCATGAGCACAGCTCACAAGGAGACCTTCCCTGAGACAGCATATGGATAAGTGCCAGAACCCAAACGTTTGGGGGAACCTGCAGAAATCAGTCATGCACAGAGAGCAACTGCGCTGCTCCAGATCTCGTGACTGATGGAAACAAGCAGTGCTTCCACAGGACAGGGTTTGCCTTCTCACCTTATTGTACAGCCTGTCAGAGACCACACACACTGCTTCATCCTTGGCAGGATGAGCATCACGAGCCAAAACAGAAGAGCCAACAGGGTTCAGGGGGGAGACAAGAGGAAAAGAGGGAGGTAGAACAAGTGCAGAGAGATAAAGAGGAGGAGATGGAAGCAGATATCAGTTTGAGCAGGAACTACCTTTCTTGGACACTTTCCTCCCCTCCTTAACTGAGCTGTGTTTTTTAGTGGCTTTATGGGTGCTGGCAGCTTGCGGCACACAGGTGAGGTGCACGGGGAGTCCAGCGGCTGACATCAGAATAGCCGTCATGCCTACAGCAGGTACGAGATCCACATGCAGGAGGGAAACAACGGGGAAACACATTCATTAAAAAAAAACCTTCAAACTTTCAAAGAAAATAATAAAAAATAGAACAAAACCAAACCCAGGCCCTTGATTCATCGAACATGAAACAGCTGGCAGGCAGCAGGATGGAATCAGCACAAGGACAGGATCCAGAGGCCTTCGGGAAAGAAGAACCTGGGCAGCAAACCAAAGCAGGGAAAATGTGGGCATCTTCCAGGCTGGGACTGAACAGGACCTTCCTCTCTGCTTTGGCTTTAGGGCTCTAAGACATTTTGAGTCTGCTTAATGCAAAGCCCTGGAGGCAGCGCTGACCCTGGGGGGCCTGGTATTGCCTGCACAGCCTAGGGTGAGCACAGACAGAGCTGCCCTGTTCAAACACTTTGAGCCTGGGACTGCTCACCCTCCCTGCCCCAGTCGGCACCAGGACTGCTGCATTCACTGCACCCAGATTATTAAGGCAGCGACTCATTCACAAGGACAGCCATTCCCTGAAGGTAAGAGCAGCACACACAGAGCTACAGGACTGATCATGCTGATGGAGTATGATGTTTGCCTGGGAAATTCAAGCCTGCTGAAGGTAGAACATTCCTAAGGTGACGTACTGCTTTAAAACTCATGTTTCATACAGCTGCATGGTGTTCTCGAGAATTCCCCCTGCCAAAGTCAAAAACAATTCATGGCTGCAGACACAGCAGCCAAAGCCAGCACCTCCCCAAAGTTACCTCCCACAGCTGCCTGTGCTAAACCACATCCTAATGCAAAGGAAATGCTTGCCAGCATCCCCAGATCTGTGCATAGCTCATGGCCAAAGCTGAAGTTACCAAGGCTTCTGTTTTTCAAGCCCATATTCAGCTGAGTTAGGAAGACAGAAAAGCAAATGCATCACTCAGGACAAAATAAGGTGCCAGCCCACACAGGACTGAAGATGGGAGTTACAATGGGAAACTCCAATCAAGTGCAAGCAGTAAGGCTACTTCCTGCCTGAAGTACAATAGAAACCCCCTGCACAAAGCCCATGTAAATGCCCCACAAGCAGAAACAGTCCCCATGCAGCCCCAGCCATGTTTTGTACCAGCTTCACATAAGGCTAAAGTACAATAGACATTCCACACACTGTTAAGTCTTCCACAATGCAAGAGTTAGATGCTTTTACTAAATAGCACATAAGGACCAAAGACTTTTAGACGGAAAGCATTTCACAAGATGGGATGAGACACAGTCAGTCATTTGCACAGGACTGCCCAAGGAAGGGCCAGGCTGCCCCATGCACTATATATCCCCCAGCACACATGGGAACTGGTAATCCCAAGCCAGGAACCCTATTAGGTGCTGCCTTTGCTGAGCCAGCTTTACATAACCCCCCTCCCTCACCCAGAAGCTGCAGGGACAGAGAGGATCTTTGGAGCACAGTGGCACTGAGTCAGTGACCTCACCCCACCACCAGCATTGGGGTGATGATGAGCATCAAGGGAACAGCATGAACATCAACTGAACATCACATCCACAGATGTCACAGCTTCCTGCAAGTCACAGACTGCTGCATGCTCCCAGCCCCACGCTACACCAGCAGTCCTTCAGCCTCCAGAATGCCTTGAGCAACAGCTTAAGCATTCCTCTAACAAAAGCTACTTGCTTTTGGAGGCAGTGAGCAAAGCTGAGCAGCTGAAGCCCAGCAGCTGCAGAGCTGCCACCTGCTCACACCAGGCAGGTACTTGGGTCTCAGAGGCTGTGAATCTCAAACTGCCTGACCCCACCAGAGCCATGAAATGCCATTTCCCAGCCTGCTGCAAAGGAGGGAAGTGGTTAGGCTGTCTCAAACGCTCATTTCTCAGCATTGTGATTACACTGATTGCAGAGGCTGACATTTGATGAGAAGTCCAAAGACCAGCAGGGATTGTCACCACCCACACACATCTGACTGATATGCAAATGCAAAATTAATGCTCTGTTGAGGAGATCAATACAAGTTTGCTAACTAACATGCAGATTCTGCTGCAAAAGAAAAAACAAGATGAAAGCAGAGGCTGGGAAACTGACTTCAGACTCCATGTCAGAAACCAAATGAAGAACAAGGCACAGAATCCCACTAACATGGTCCTTCCAGTACCTTGAACAACTTACCCAAAGTTGTCTACCAGCACTGTGAATCATTGCAAAGCAATTCAGTACTGATTCCAGGAACTCTCATTTCACGAGCTGCAAAGGCAACAGCAGGTCCATGTGCACACAGAGCACTGGTTAAGCACGGGACCAGGAGAGCTACCCCCAGTTCAGTGCTCTCCCCATAGACAACCTTAAATTGGCAAGAAAAGATTGTTTCCTATTTCTACCTTCTGCTGCCCTCACAGAGACGCACTATGAGTCCTTTCTTCCTACAGATGCAAACCAAGAGAGCATTCAGAATGGGGTTGCTCCTGTGCTATGTTGTTCTTTCGGCTTATCTCAAACACCACAACAATTCTTCCTTCAGAGTGCTGAGACAAGGCTGGAAATCTCAGCATCCAACGATCCTCCCACAAGTCTGGTGACAAGAGCAACCAGCAAGTGATTCCAGCCTCACGTGGAAATGTGTACATGCCAAGTGTGTGTATGTATATGTGCAAGAAGCACACACACCCCTCCCTCTTTTCTCTTGCTCGAAGCATCTACATGGCCATGAGCACTGTTACAACTCCATGGGGTAAAGTTATTTTTGCTGCAGCTCTGACGACATCCACCAGCTCTTCTCAGCCTCTCATGTAAATAAGGCACTTTTGTAATATCTTGTGCAGAATATTAGCATGGGGAAAAACACCCTTACATAACGCACAGAGCACCAACCAGCTGCTTACTCACTCCCAACCCAGAACACCCAGCCAGTCACAGCTCAAACACCAACACCGTGATTTAACAGTTTGCTGAGACTGGTATTTAGGAATTTCTCTGTACTAACCAAATACCAAGAGTGGAAAGAAAGATTAAACGACAGATTTTTCCATGCACCTCAAAACATTAAAGTAGCTGAAAATGAAAAAACATAGAGAACAGGGTCTCAAAGTCAGCTTCATGATTTCTGGAGCCTGGAGCTGCAGTGTTATGAACTCTTCACTAAAATTTCAGGCTCATCACACCACCAAAACCCACCTTCTCACTAACAGCAGCAGGATCCCCCATTATCTGCTGATTCAGAACTTCAGATTTCTCTCCTCCCTGGCCCCTCAGAACATCCCAGGTCTGATCACAGCCATGGGCTACAGAGACAGAAGACCCAAAGGAGATGCTTGCCCTGTGGCTGCTTCTGCAGTGACCACAGCCCAGCCTACACCACACTGCACCCTGCAGTCACTCAGACTTCCTGCTTGCTGCCTCCCAGGGATCTGGAGATCTTTTTCAAATTAACAGGGGACGACTTGCATATGTAGAACAAGGTCAGTTAACACTATTAACATAGCCTGGCTGCAGTAGGGCTTGTCAGTCCTTTGCTGTATTTACCCTTATGTGATTAAGTAACTAATTACAATCAGTGCTAACAGCCAGGGGATGAAACTCAAAGCTCTCACAGCAAGCCCTGCTCACAGGTCATCCTCCCAGACAGAGTGGGAGCTCTGCTCTACACCTCATTTCCACAAAGCCTGATCTATTAAGAGGGAGCTGGAGGAGCTACATGCTGTCAGTGCACCCTGTATTTAACTTTATATGGTGCCCATTTGCTTCTGGAGATCTACAAGACACAATCCTCACCAAAGCATTAAAACTGGATGACTAGAAACATCAGTGCTAAGGGATCACCAGGGCAAAACCTGCACTCCTAGCTGGCAGTGTCACACTGCAGTCCCCACAGCTGCAGCCAACCAGGTCAGAACACCACCAAGTTCTAGCACTCAGATTTCAAGCACTTGCTGAAAGCTATAGAGCTGCCATTTTCAAGGCAACGCCATTTCATGTTTCACAGGCAAATCTACTCTGAAAAGCAGCATTGAAAATTGGCACTTTCATCCTTCTCAAATGCACTCCTTGGGTATATTTAGGATCAGATTCACAGGTTTCAATGATAACAAGCCAGGCTGCATTGTGTTGCCACAGGAGACAGCAACTGATTTAACTTCTGTTTCTTCCTTTCCCTAAGGCAATGCATTACAACCCTTTTTTAGCAAACGACCACCTGAGCTTTTGTAATAAAGCCATACAAAATAATTCCATACAGCAGCTTGTGCTACAGCCTTCCTCCTTTAAGGAAGGAACAAAGGAAAAAAAAAAACCAAACAAGCAGCAATTGCCAGCAGCACACAGCCTGGCCCAGGTGCTCCCCCATGGCTGAAAAGTTAGCAGCCAAACTCTAAATACACCCACTTGTCCTAATAGCTCACAGCCTGCCTCTAAACTACAATTCAAAAGCAGAGCTACTTAGACAAGTCCAGAGCTCATCTCTCCTACCCCAGAACTAACTGCACACCAGCTGGCATCCTGCTTTTACATTAGGAAAGTGCTCATCCATGCTAACCAACATCAAACCCTCACCTCAGCTAAGACAGGAACAAAACCTTACAACAAGCTCTACTGAGAAAAAACAATTGCTAAGGTTCAACCTATTCTCTTTCAAGTCTGTTCTTTCTGCTGCTTGGATTTTTGGACTAGAACTTCTTCACTACTAAACAAAAATCAGTTTCCCTAAAGGCTAAAATGGAAAGTAAGTGCCAGAGGAAGCACTCACTAACATAACCCTAAGAACAAAGCAGATAAAGCAAAACAAGATCGTTACCTGCCAAGGCCTGGTTCAGTTTGCTGGGCTTGGACATCTTGACTGGAAGATTTAGAGCACTAGAGAGAACAAAAAAGAGAAAACTATAACAGTGCAGACTAGCAGTCAGGTAAGCAAGAGCTAACTAAGCCACAGCAGCACACAGCCCTAGATATTTTAACAGGCTTTAATTACCCAGGTGAGCCTCACCTGGGACCCCCACCCCCATCGGCCCAGCAGCCATACTTAGGGAGCCCACCCCTTTATAAAGCAAGGTTCTGATAGTTGCTTTCTGTCTTTGAGGGTACTATAAAATATATGAACAAGGGGAGAAATGCTGAAAGAGGCTCAGAAGAGTTTGGCACTGGCTTTACCTTAGAAGCTAAAAGACAGTGGACATCAATTATCCCTTTTAGATTCCTAGCTTGCTTTGGTAGCATTTCTCAGTGCTGGCAATAGCATCTTAAGCAGTTTAGGAAATGTGGGTAGTTGTTCAGCTGGCAGCAGGAGATAGAAAGGAAAACTGCAGCGTAGAAGCTGAGGGGATTGCTAGGAGCAAGCTGGACCCCAGCTTGAAGCCCACCATGCTGGCACAGAGAAGTCACCTGTGGGCTTTGCCTTAGGTGGCACACAGGCATAACAGCTCATGGGCAGCAGCTGTAGTCACTACACAAGTCATTTAGATAACCACCTCCCCAAATCAGCCCCAGTTACATCTGCCCACCACTTTAGAAAGGCCATTATCAAGTTCCCAAAGCCACCTTTTGTCTCTGAGAACCTAGGTCTCTTCAGCTGGGATGCAAAATGTGCTGCTGTAGTCAATGCAGCATCACAGGCAGCAGTCCTTCTCTCAGCCCTGCTAAGATCCAGCAGTGACACATCAATACCTTGCTGTTTCTCTGCCTGCTGTGTTTGGAGCAGGTTCCTGTATGCTCTGAGCCCCTGAGGGAACCCTGGGTCTCAGTGTAGTGTTGGCACCCTCCAGACCTTTAAAGGGTCCTCCGGAAGTTCCCTTCCTTTTCTGTGCTTTCCCCTCCGTTGCCCCTAATGTTGCAACGTTTTCAAGTGATGCAATCAATTGTTCTCACTGCAGCCCAGTTCAAACCTCTCTGACCACAGTGGAAATCCTCCTTTCAATTTCAAAGGGCTGTTAGTCAGTTACTGTGACCCTCTTCACGACTTGTTTCTTCCCTGATTTCGCTTCTTCATCACAGTTCCTTCTCACTTATTTTTCTTTCCCAATGCTCCCCCATCTTCTCCCACCACAAAGCAGCCCATGAGACACTGCAGTGTCCATTCCTGGTCTGTGACGCCAAGCAGCTTTGTGCCCAAAGTGCTGCAGCCACCTGGGTGCTTCCATCTCCCCTTCCCCATGGAAAGGAAAAACACAGCAGAGCTGAGGATTCAAGGAAAGGAAAGCCAGAGCTGATCTGGAAGGGGGATGACGAGCACTTTGGGAAGATGGCAGAAGGATTCCCTCTTTTCTTTCCTATGTTGCAAGGTCCCGTCAAATCACCCAGGAGCCAGAGCTTCTGTGAAGTGAGAAGAGCCCTCAAGATGCACAGTAAAGGCAAAGGGCTTTAGCTTTGATTGCAGGAAGGCTTTAAGCCAACTAAACTGATGACATAGGAACTAAATTTTTATTTCCCATGGACTACAGACACGCAGACTCAGTTTGAAATAGGACATGCTAACCTATCCATGTGAACACAGGGCCAGGGCTGCCACGTGCAGAAACCTGCAGAAATCCCAGACACAAGGCTGATGAAACCAAGGGAAATTCACACTGTGCTGCCTCTGCCACAACGCTGCCTGGGCAGATCTGAAGCTGCAGTGCGTAGGAGGAAGTGTTGCCATGCTAAAAAAGGTGCAGAAACGCAACTCTGAGCTTACGTTGGGCCTGAGGTGGTTTTTTTTTTGGAGGAGGAAGGAGGTAAAGGAGGAGGATATTGCTATGGCTGTGTAACACACACATTGTGCCTTGCCTCTCAGTGGATGCGCCCGTTCCCACACCTCCGCTGCCCAGAGATTCCCAGCTGTTGCCTGCATCTCTGAGCCAAAGCTCAGGCTGTGCCTGCAGCAGCTGAAAGTCAGTGCCTGAAATCTCTAAATGCTCTGGTCTGCACCTCCTGAGCACATGGGAAGATCTGGGGCTGCAACACAGGATGCTTCCCAGCATGGCTTCACCCAGGGATGGAAAATTGCTGGAGGCAGTGCTGCCTTCTGTTCTCCACACACAGCCCTTGCCACAGCACACTCCATCTGTGGCTCTCAGTGTAGTCTGCAAGGAGGCTGGATTTGCTATATTTACAGCATGGGAGGAAACTAAGGCACCAAGAAGCAAAATAACCTGCCCACACTTATTTCATACATTAGAGCAGAGCCAAGAATATTAACAACTACTTATGCCTTGGCTTGCTCCAGCCAACACTCCTCTCTGTTTTCCAGAGACTTTGATCCTCCTGAGAGCATGGGAAAATTAAATCTGCAGCATGCAGTGCCCGAGCTCTACCCTCACCTCCATCCCTGCAGCAAGCAGGTAACGTTCCCCTGCTACTGATACCACAAAGGCTGCAATGTGCCCATGCTACCACCAACTGCACTGGGGTGAGCCCTGCCTGTGCACTGGGATAGCTGTCACTGCCACACAGAGAGCTGGGCAGGTCTTCAGGATGAATTACCCCTTTCTCAGCCCTTTAAGAGAGAGGATTTCTTTAGTCCTGCCACTTTTAGCTTCATTTCCTACAAAATTGGGTGCATGTAAATGGGTGTACATAACTGCACTGCCTTTCAGTCTCCAGTAACTTTTGAGCTCAGTTACAGCTCAGCTGCAGCAAGGCAGGAGCTGGACTCCCCTGCAAGCTTTGTGAATGTCTGCCAGGGGCATGTGCTTCAGGGTAAAAAGCTGAGCAGTGCACACAACACAGCCTTTATTAGACACCAGAGAATCCCTCAGTGCCACCACTCCCTTTCCTGCAGCACACACTGCTCTGTCACAGGCAGCACAGCTCCATTTGTTGGTGGATGTTTGTGCAAGCTGCAGTGATGGCCGCAGGGAGGGAGCAGCTGAAGAAAGAATTGCATGGTGCAGCTAAGACAATCAAAGACACACAAGCTCTTCCTGGATAATGAGTACAGCATAATTAGCACCTCATCCTTGCAACCACAAAAGCCTCACTAGCGATGCAGAGGAACTAACCCACAGAGCTAAGCTGAGGGGAAAGACAGGGAATGCAGTGGATACAATAACTAAGGAATGTTGTGGGCTTAGGAATTAAATGAAATGCTTTGTTAGTCCATGCTACTCCGGTTTCCCTTAATTGGCAGAAATGAGGGTATTTTCTGCTGGAACATGGGCTTCATGAGCCTGGGAACATAACCCAGCCAAGAACAATTACCCCAACCCTGCACTATTTCCAACTCACCACATGGGAAGGAAGGGGAAAAGCCATCCTGGGCTGTCAGCTGGTGTTGAAAGAAGCCCTTTCACATAATGAACTGCAGTAGAAGACAGATTGCCCCATGTGCATTCATCTGTCTGGTCAGGGGAAAGGACAGAGCCCTTGAAAAGGTGATGTCAAATGACTACGAACATCTCTAAGGAGAGAAGTTCAGCAAGTGAACAAGATTTAAGTCCTGCTTAAGATACAAACTTCAAAACTCTCTGCTAATTGCATGGAGCACAGTATGCTTTCTCCGCCCTTCTGATCTCTTATCTATGTCTTTACCTGGGCTGGCATGGACAGGTAAAGCAACTCTGGCAAGTTTGCCTCTAATTGCTCAGATGCTCACGGTGATGCTTGAGATGATTACAGCACAGAGCACATACACTGCTCTACACAATGACCGAAGGAGCAGTCAGACAGCCCTTACACAACCTGCAGTTCAAAGTGACGCAGCTAGAAGATGATCAGTGCATGTATTATCATCAGCTCTTAGAAGACAGGCCATGGAAGACCAGCTTAGAAAATATCCCATGTGCAATGAAAGCTAGTATTTTGCTTGGTTTGGGTTTCATAGAGATCAACCCCACAAGAAGACAGAGGGAAGTGCTCCACTTTGTGAAGGAGACTGCCTGCTTCAGCCCCGGGGATAACTGACTGCAGCTAGGCTAAACAGTTTGTACACAGGAGAGAAGAGGGCAGCATGGTGAGCCCACAGGATGCTGCTTTCCATTCAACAGCCTGCAGCACCTGCAAGGCTTGAGGAGAACTGAAGCATATTTTGAACTAAAAAGAAATGCTTGTAAGTCTCCTTTGCATTCACTTGGTTATCTCCCTCAAAACGCTACCTTACATTTCCTCATGCCTGCAGTATCTCAACCTGACCACTTCCTCCAGTGGTTCAATGTGGCTTTCCTGGCTGACAGGGATGAAATTTCAAGTGGGGAAAAAAGCAAGGGAAAGCAGAAAGGAAACCTCCTTATCCATCAGACACGAGAGGTCTGCATTCTTTTAGGGAGAAGAGCTTAGCAAAGAGAGGCTCCTAAACAACAGAGACCTGAGCACAGCAGGTCTCTGGCACACACACAGCATTTGAAGGTGAGTCTGGGTCTGTACCTGACTCCATTCGATGTGGACAGTCCTGTGCTGGGGCCCACAGCACCTCCAGCCTGGGGTAAAGCCCAGCTGCTCTGTGCATTGAGTCGTGGTGTTGACCTCGCTCCAGACAAAGCGGGTTTGTTATAGGGCACAAAGCCGACGCTGGAAGAACTCACTGATGTCGTCCTACCAGAAACCTGAGGTGCAGCAGAGGAACTGGGGAAGTTTGTCATGGAGTGCCGGAACCGCGTGGTGATGGGGCCAGTCCCACCGTTCAGCCAGCACTGCTGGCACGAGCAACCCGTCCCCGTGTGAAGGGGAGCCAGGGCGGCCGTCACAGGGTATGGATTGTCCACCCGCCTCCGAACACTGCGGCAGAACCTCGTGGTCTTGTTGGTCTGCACTTGAGCCACCAGATCAACTTCATAGTTGTAGCCTAAGGGTTTGAGGTCCACCCGCTGGTGGCTGGAGGCGTGGGCTTGCTCCAGGAACACGCAGACGTTCATCTCATAGGGGAACCAGCCACGTTCATCGTTCTGCCACTCCCAGATGATGCCCTGCTCGGCTGCTGAGTCCCTGGGAAAGAGGTGTCTGCGGACTGCCCGCATCGTCCCTGGTAGGAAAGAGAGGGAAAAAAAGAAAGCACTTTGAGATCAGAGAAGCGGACCTGCTTCAGTGATGCTGATCTGCAGTGTTTAACAAAGAGCACTAATAGACTTCCTCATCCCGACAAAGGTGGTTTTGCTCACAGAGCTCAGAGAAACAGAACACCTTGGAGATCCCTGTCCCCCAGCCAAATCTGATTGAGGGCTGGCAACAGGCTCAAAAGCTGCTGAGAAGAAGGATGGGAAGGGAGGAAAGGAGAGAGGATGCGGAGACCAACACACCCAGGTGCAAAGGAGCAGCAATCATAGATACCTCACTGACTTAAAAAAAAATTCAGACTGAGGCACAGATCTGGTAAAAACCTCCCACAGCCTCAACAACAGAGTAACTATAGAGACACAGCACCTACAGAAAGTGCTGCTGGGGCTGAAGGCCCGTTTCCTGCTGGGGCTGAAGGCCTGTTTCCCTCTGCTGCACAAAGGCCTGGGCAACTCTCCTCCCACGAGAGGAGTCCCATGAGGGCAGGACAAGGGCTTCAGAAAGGGAAGGACAGGCCCAGCTTCTCGCAGTTCCTGACTGCTGCAAGATGTGCAGAGAAAACCAGCAAAGTCATTTAGAAGCTGCAGAAAACAGCTGCTCACATAAAGGAAAAGCACTGAAAGCAGACGTGCTGTTATTGCAAGGCTCTTCAACAGCAACAGCAGGAGCTCAAACCCCCCAGAAGCCAGGCTCTCCAAGGGATCTCGTTCAGTTGCTTTTTTAAAGCAAAAAACCTCCTGAGAAGGAAGTAAGCCACCTAACAGGACAGAAGCTCAAACCTCTGCAAAAATAGGCTCCTGCAGCTGGGCCAGAACTGCTCACAGTGGGAAAAAACCTCAGCAGCCCACTACACTAAGAGAAGCTGGGAATATCCTGGGGCAAGTCTGGGAATGCAGGCAGGTGGTGGGGAACAGAAATGCAAAGAGCTGTTAACACAAAGGAGTTCAGAGAACAGCATCAAGAGGGAAAAAAACAAAACCAACAAAGCCTTTAAAGCAGTTGTGAGGGCTCTGACCCGGAACTCCAGGAAAGAGGTGAAAGAGCACATCAACAAACAAGTATCTGCACTTCAGCCCTGCTGAGAACTGCCCCAGGATGTTCTTGTGGCTCTGTGGGACTGCACATTAGCTGCACCAGAGGGCAAACTACGCTGCAGCTCTGCCAACAGTGTGGAAGTCGTACCTCTGCTCCCACTGCACTCCCAGGCTCCTTTGTGAGTAGCACTGCTGGTTTCTGCTGAGTGCTTTGGTGGCCAGACCATGAGACCCTGTGAAATTCCATAGCTGCTCTGTAGGATGGCTCAGCCAAAAAACCAGAGACTCCTGTGGGATAAGGCTTTGCTCTGGCAAAAGCCAGGGTGGAAGGTGTCAGCAAAACCAAGCTGACCTTCCCCAGCCAGGAATCAGTGTCTGACATGGGAAAGCAGAGAACACAGCCAAGAATATAATCACGCAACGACTGCTCCCATTCAGCAATCAACTCCTGCTAGGATTTAGAAAGACTGAGTGCACAAATCTATGTTCTCAACAGACACTGGGGAAGATCTGAGCAGAGGGAAGAAGGATGAGACCGGATTGGGACCAATATGATGAGAGAAGCCCTGCATTTAGAGATGGATGCTGGGAGCTTGCTCCCAGCAGAGAGGAGACCAGCACAGGTAAAAGATGCTGGAAAGTCAAGCAGGATACACAGGTAAGAAATCAGCAAGGCAGTCCCTGCTCCAATGGCAGGTCAGAAGCTAAAAGCAGCACAGGGAAGACTTCAGGTGTTTGCAAGTAACATGCAATTTTAAGATCCCCAAACTGCAGTGGTGAGAGGAGATTGTAAGAGTCAGTAACAGGAGCCATGTGCTTCATGGAAAAGGTCCCCTTCTCCCAGGCTGGCAGGGAAGCTGGCATGGAAGCTGGCATTTGTCTCCTGAGTGGGCAAACAGCTGTGGCAGGAGGACAACTCCTGCTGCTGCCTCACATTCACTTCCAGCTAATCTGCCCAAAGCAGCAGCTGAAGCCTGCGGCTAATCCTGCCCACAAGATCCCCCTGCACAGCTGTCAGTCCCTGTTGGTAGAGATGCTAGTCCCATTAACACTGGCTTCCTGTTATTCTCCCTGGCTTCCTTTGAAGAGCTATTTGTCTGTCTAATAGCTAATGAGCAGAATACAACAGCCTATTTTTTGCTCTGTTTAAAGATTTTTCATGGGGATGTTTCCTGCAGAGATTCTTTTTTCCAGCAGATGACAAAGGTCAGCTGGCTGCTTCCTTAGAAAGGTTCGTGTTTAAGGCAGAGCCCTGCAGAGAGAAAGTCTTCCTTAGAAGTGGGCCACAAAAAGGGGATATGAGAGCATTCTCAACAGTCACACAAACAGTGCATAGGAACAGGTACCCATGTAGGGAGGCTCACAGATCAGCATCCCTCCGAATCAGTGGGAAACTCTGCAGGAGAGCTACAAAGTAGAATGAGCCTTTTTGTTGTTAAAAGACCACCACAAACCTCATCCCACAGAAAGAGGACATCACGTCATCCAGCATCATTTCCAAAACTATACTGTGCTTTTTCCCTGAGATGACTAAACCCAAATCATCCTGCAACGGACAATACAGCTAGATGCTTTGAGGTCTTTCACAAAAGACTAAAGAGATACAAGACATCTGCACATATGAAGAAGGATGTCCCAGTTGCACTGGGACACATCATTCAGCCTCCCACAGGTAATCAACCTCTACAGGCTGAGATCTCAACCTCACCCAGCTGGGATGTGTCCTGGCAACAGATGGCATCTTGGTGAGGGAGGGCCTGCTGCCCAGGTGCTGGAAAGAGCACCAGCTGCACAGCTCCTGCACAAGTGCAGCGTGAAGAAAACAAGAAACAGCTGTTGGTGCCAGCTCTGGTGGTCTGTGCTGTGTTGCTTGAAGGCACAGCCCTTAACAGAGCTTCCAGGCCATGCTGAGCCAATCCTGCCAGTGCTCAAGACACTTCTAGGGAAAACTCATCTCAGGGTCACTGGTAAGCACTATGAAGTCAGAACAAAAACACGGATGCAGCTGCGATGAGTATTCACCACTCTAACCACTTCCCTTTCCTGTAGGAATTGTCTTGTTGCAGTTGATTCAAGACAGTGCTCATTTCTTGCTTCAGCTGGCAGGAACCCAGCACTGTGCCCAACTTTGCAGCCTGGTCTGAGGCTCAGGCAGTGAGCTAAACATGACTGTGTCCTGTGGCAATGGGAAAGGTGCTGGCAAAGGGAAAACTGATACACAGAGAATTTTCCATTCATTTAGGGGTGTGTAACGTAGAATCTCCCTGGATTTTCTGGAGATAAGAGCACACGTTCCATCCCTTCTTTCTGAGCTACAGCTGCTCAGCACATCTGGAGTAAAAGAGGGCAGGATCCGTATCAGCACATTCTGAGCTGGTAGCCCCAGTGACCTCAGAAAATCAAGATGAGAATGAAAATTAAACTCCAGTCCTGTAATTAGGAGCAGCCCACCCTTCATCCCTGGGAGGAAGCAAGCAGGCCTGGGACAGCAGCAGTAGGGGACTATTCTGCAGCTGCATTACATTGTTCTGCCAGAAGCAGGAGGCTTTCACAGAGCAGCTTGCACAGGATGGCATGCCAAAGTAGAGCAGCTGGCACACCTGTTGCAGAGAGAACAAGGGATGCAGCCAGGAAGGTTTCAATTGCAAAAAGGCCTTTTTGTGGAGTGGTCTTGAATGGATGCAGGCTAGGGGAGAACAGGCAGAAAGTTTCCAGCTCTGAGGAGTCTAGCTCACAAGCTCTGAGCTCCAGAGGTCTCACGATGAGGTCTCTCTCACCCCCATCTGCCTGGCATAGCCCTCCAGATTCATCAGCCAACACTGCTTTGCTCACATGCCGGGTGGCACACAGCATCAGGAGAGAAGACACAGCACATGACAAGTGACAATAGTGTCCTGCAAAGCTCTAAGTACACAAGCAAGCTTACAAAAATGCTGGCATGAAAAGGAAGCTCCCTTACCTGTATCCTGCCGGAACTGCGTCAGGCTTGGGATGTCGATGACATAGGGGGCCAAGCTAGCATCTGCATGTCCCAAAGAGATGCTGCTGCTGACAAGCCCTGATCCTGAACGCCGTCCCTTCTGCTGAGAGGCCTGGAAACCCTGCTCAATGAACTTGCACACATCTCCTCGGTATGGCCTCCACCGGCCAAACTCATCCTGCCATTCCCACACCACTACTGCCGTGGAGCTGCTGTGCCCTGGGATGGAGACAGGGGCTCCGGGGGGCCCGGCTGAGCTGCTTCCTGCTCCCTGAGCTGCTGCCATGGTCCTCCCAGAGGTCTGGGCACACGGAGATCACAGACAGCAGCTGCACCGGCTGGCTTTACACCATCTTCTTTACACCTGCAGGGAGAGACACAGAGCACAGCAGAGCTGAGAATGATGCCCCAGAATCAACACACCTCAAAAGACATACCACACAAACTCAGCCTTTCACAGAAGATGCTCACTGTGCATTTAGGAGACTATAGAAAAGGGAACACTCTGGTTGAGGGCAAATGAGGTACCACCACCTACAACATGCCAATGCGACTTCTTCTGCAAATCTGGAGAAAGAGCTTCCTGAGAAGACTCTGCTTCCAACACTAGGCACCACCAGAGTCTGCAAACTTATGCATAAGTAGCCCAAGGCTGCTGCTGATCTGTATTAAGCTTATCCATCAGCACTGAGCCAAGCTCAGACCTGAGAAGTATGCCAAGCACCGCACCTGTGCACACTGATGACTTAGTTATGCAAGCAATTCCTGAAACTGCACTGCTCTAAATCCAGGGTTACAATGGCAGCTCCATTCTGGCCTCAGACTGTGGGGATTCAAGAATATGCAGAGCAGAAGCTGTGCAGCAAGACAAACGGCATGAGAGATGAGTGACTGCCGCATGATAAATGATCCTGATGGGAGGAAGAGCACATGGCTAGGAACAACTCATGACTCCGACTGGATAAGTGCCTACACGCACAGTTAAGGAGTAGACCAGAGGTGACTTTGTGGAATGTTTTGTTGACACCTAAGGAGGGCTGTTACAAAAGAGAAAGTGGGAATGTATATAAGGGATGCTAGAACCTGCAAGAAACAATTTGGATCGTTCAATCATCTGAGTCTGTGCCTTCAGACACTGCATCTGATCACTCCATTTTCATACAGGATCAGTCCCTTGACTCCTCCTGTGCAGCATTATACACGTACACAAAGCCACAAGACAATCCTTTATGCATGAAAGTCAGTAAAGCACAGAAATAAATTTGTTAAGCTTGATCTGAGAGAAGAATTGGGAGAAACAAGTATGGAAGTAGCAGGAAGAACAGAGGGGACAGAGGGAACAGCCTGTGCTGAGGATAGCATCACAGCATGCCTACCTGCAGCTTCTGGGGCTGGAAAACAAGGAATATCTTAGAACAAAGGACAGTTTGCATCACTAACAACTCAAGCCAGATGCAGAAAGCCATTATGAAATGATGTGGGGAAGAACAGAGAATGGGGTAGGAGCCCTAAGACATCCAGATATGGATATAAAGGGCAGCAGCTAAATCCTAACACTCACAGAGCAAAGACAGAACACAGACAAAAGATCAGCAATGATCTTAGCCTACAAGAAATATAAAACAGCAAACCCAAAGCCATCCAAAAAACAAAAAAGAATTAGACAGCAGTGATGACAGACAAGTTGTTAGGGAACACAGGCAGAACAAAGATGCTATTAAGACACAGCTATTACACTTATGTATGGTTTCAAAGGCAGTGCCCCACATGCTGTCACAAGGCTGCCACAACCCACCTAGCTGGCCAGGCACCAGGACCTCCATGTGAGGAGGTGGAAAAGGGGGACTCACAGGTGCCAGCTCACTTAGAAATGATGACCACTCACTTCACAAAGTGGTGTTGTTGTGCTAACAGCACTATCAAGTGTTAGAAGCAGGGACACCGATCACACACGGTCACCAAGCTGTGTCCAAGAGGCAGAGTACTGATAGCTCACATTCCTGTGCTGCTGTGCCACTGCAAGGAATCCTGTCCAGACCATCTGGACACGTCTATCTTGTGCCTGAATGCCAGGCAGAGCATTTGAAAATCTCCGTGGCGGTGCTGGTGAACAGCTGGCTACAAGAATGCGAGTGTGAGTGAACAAAATTCATTCGGGTTTAAAAATAAAGTCACCTTCTCCCTCCTAAGGTCTCACATTGTTGATTGCTCACTTCACTCCAGTCAATAAAGAGCTACGAGCTTCCTTCCTGCCAAGCAGAAAAGTTCAGGCCTCCCAAGAGGCAGAAAAGCTGTGGGTGGCTTCCACTGGAGGATGCCATCTGCATGGAGAATGACACTGCTGCCGGATGGGGGAAGAGCCCACGCTCCGCAGAGCATCCCATCCATCCTGCTCATATGGCTTGCTAGCTTAAAAAAGAAACAGAATTATAAAAAAAAAAAAGAAAAGAAAAGAAAAGAAAATAATCTAGCAAAGATCTAGCAAAGACTCACCCACGTGTCTGCATTTATGAGATGAAAACAACACTTTCCCAGGAATGCAGAAATGACAAATTGCTCTGGGTCACCAACAGCACACACTGCTCACAGCAAAAAGCAATCAGTTACAGCAATGCACATAGCTTGGTTATTTTACTGCTCCAAACAGCAAACTCAAACTGTAGGTGTCAAACTTGACACCTGCCTCCACCATTTTAAGGCAGGTTTCACACCACACATCCACACCCTGCCTGGACTGAGTCAGAGCAGGGCTCCGGGATGGTCTGTCCATCCCACGGTGCAGCTGCATACCTGCAGCAGGTGCTCTGAGCCTCAAAATAGAGAGCTGCACCATTTCCCCCCCAAAGTTGTTGCTGACTTTCATATTCATGCAGCCACAAGAAGAGAAAGAAGAATGGAGAAAGGCTTTTTGGAGGGAGTCAGCAGTTTGTTTTTTCCTTCTCTTTTTGAAGCACAGCAGCAGGAGATGGAGAATAGCAGTGCACTGAGCACCGCATCTTCAACCACCATCAGTATTTGATGCTGAAAACTGGCAGGTGACAAAAGCCTGCTGTCACACCAGGGTGGCAGTGATACTTTGACTCTGGATGTGCCAGCAAAAGCATGCAGACCTGCTGCATGTGAGCACAGCTCTGACATTTGCTTCCCCACTTGAAAGGAGAAATATCCCCTGTGCTGGGACTGCTGGTGCACGGAAGCAGACAGGACTTGGGGTGCCCTGCTCCTATAGCCCCACAGCTCTGGATGTGCCACACACCCACCTGCCTGGCAGCACATCGCCTTCAGCTTTTACAACTACCCCGCCAAGCCAAAAGTCACATCAAGAACAAGGAGTGACAGTTATTTAGCAAACACTCCCAGCTCCACTTAGCAAACCCGCAGCTACCCTGCCCCAAACCATAACAGGAATCTGACTTCTCAAAGCACAAACTTTAAATATTCCAGCCACACAACTTCTCCTCGGGAAGCTGAATTAAGGTTTGTTTGCTTTGACCTTTAGCACCAGCACAAGTGCTGCAGCGTTGCCAGCCTTCAGCTGGGGACCTCAGTGAGAGCTGGGCGCATTTCAGTGGTGCTTCCCACCACTCAGTTCACTCCCTGCTCCTCGAATCCCATCCAGATCAGTCTGTTTAACAATAAGGTCAGTACATTAATTTAAGAATCAGTGCATCAGTTTAGTAAAACAAACGCATAAGCGATAGTTCTCAAGCTTTCCATTTCAGCTTCAGGGGACGAGCAGTCATGTTTTCCCTCACTAATTTTGCACTGGGGACAGAACACAAGGCATCTGTCCTATGTCTCAACGATTTTGCCTCACTAGAAGTTCCGCATTCACATAAATACCTTTATCTTTTGCCTCAAGCACCCAGGGGCAATCCCCCCCGGGTTCCACACGCATTGTTTTTAAGAAGTGCCTCACTATGTCCTAACAAGCAACGGGAATCTTCCAAAACGGGGAACTCGGCCGGCAGCGGGCGAAAGCATTCAGCGACGGGGCCGACGGCGAACAGAGGGGCAGCGCTACGCGGGCACTGAGCTCACACGCACGGAGCGGAGCGGCCCGAACCTCCCGCAGCCCCGGCCGCCCGGCACGGCGCAAAGAGCCGGGGCCAAACGACAGAAACGAGAGCGGCGGCCCGAGCCGCACATAAACCCCTCGGAACCGCACCGCCGCACCAACCTCCGCCGCGTCTCCGCAGCCGACGGGCTCCACGCAGCCGGAAGCCTCACCGCCCGCGGGCTCCGGGGAGGCCCAAGGATAACAGCGGCCCGTCCGGCGCGGTGCCGTCCTCACGGCCTCAGAACGGAGCGGCTCCTGCACGGCACGGCGCGGTCCCGCTCCCGTACGGCGTCCGGGCAGCGCCGCCACTTCCCGGCCGCAGGCGGAGGCGGCGAACGCTCATGCGCGGCGCGGGGCGCGATGGGAGCTGTAGTGCGGGGCGGAAGGGGCGGGGATTGGCGTGACGTGAGCGTGTGAGCGTGCGTGCGTGCGTGCGTGCCCGGGGGTGTGTGGGGGTGGGGCTGTGCGTGTGCGTGTGGCCTCTACTGTGAGCGTGTGTGTGCGTGTGTGTGCGTGCACACACCAGGGCTGCCCCTTCCCTGCTACAGAACCCCGCGCTCGCTCTGGTTCAGCTTCACGTGGTGGCCGATGGCCCGGCTCTCCGATTACCGGAGATCTCAATGCAATTAGCAGCTCCTCCCGTTTCAGTACTACCAGCAAACTCGCTCAGAACAACTTCTAGCTCTACACCCAAATCACTGAAGAGAATGTGGAAGACAGCTGGCCGGAAAACGGAGCCTTGGGGATCCCTGCCAGTGCCGGGCCGGCAGCCTGATGGATCCCCGTCTTCATAAGCCTTGGGGCCCGGCCCATCAGCCATCTGCTGCCCCATCGCGTTACGGTTCTGTCTAGCTGTGTGCTGG